GGCCTCAGAACGTGTGGGTGGCTGAGCTCGTGATCCCCACGCACCTCCTGCCTCACGGTCCCGTGGGGTGGCTGATCTGGGAGGGGACAGGGCCGTCCCCCACCCCAGGAGGAGACATGAAGGTCTATTTCTGGAGGTAGATGCAAATCGCCAGGCAAATGAGCGCAGCCCCTGCTCCAGCCCCGTGGGCTGAGGGCAGCACCGAAGACAGGGCCCTACTGGAGCTGCTGCACAGCACAAGAAGGGGTTGTGGGGCTGTTCCCCGTGAGTGCCCCCCAGCACTGGTGGAGGAGGTGGGGTGAGGGCTGGTGCAGAGCGGGCAGGAGAGTGGAGGTGCTGGGGCTGCCGGGGTCCAGCTCAGAGGGGTACAGGGGTGCCTTCTCATACCAAGCTGTGCCAAGCCCTGAGCTGTGGGTGCAGATCAGGGGGGCACAAAGTGCTGATGGGAGGTTGAGAGGGAGCGTCGGTGCCATTTGGGAGGTGGAAGCAGGGCTGGGGTGTGGGTTTGAGAGTGCTGGGGGGATGGAGAGGGTGTAGGTATGTATGAGAGGAAGGAGATCAGATCAGTGGGTTCTTGGGAACAATATAGGGGAACTGGGGGTGGGTGCAGGGTTACAGGAGACACCCAGACCCAGCGTGAGGCCCTTGCTGCTGTTCCCTGGGCACAGCACTGAGCTGCAGTGTGCTGGGGCGGCACGGTGGGCTGCAGCACAGGGACCTGGCTCTGCCAGGGCTGGTTTCACTCCGCGTATCCCCAGCTGGCCGGCTCCCTAGTGTCCTTCCCTGGCCAGGCAGCAGCTGGTCCAGAGCCACCCCTCCTCAGGGTGCCTGGTTCCCCTTTCAGTCTGGCTCCTCCCCGGCGGCGTCTGCTCATGGGCAAGAGCCGGTGCAGGCGGAGAGGCTCCGGAGAGGCTGAGTGTGTGGCTTGCTCTTCTCCAGGTGCCGCTGTCCTGTCGCTGAGATGTTGGATCTGCCCTTCCTGCCCTTCTGCGTCTTCCTGGGCGGCCTGGGCTTTACGTGCATGACCTTTGTGACCGCCTGGTGCCAGCACTGGCGCGGTGGCTTCGCCTTGGATGGCAGCACCCGGACGTTCAACTGGCACCCGGTGCTGATGGTGACAGGCATGGTGGTGCTGTACGGCGCAGGTGAGTGGGGCGTATGGCGTGGTACAGTCCTGGCACGGCTCCTGCCTGACCTTCTCACCCAACAGCGGCCCTGGTCTATCGCCTGCCCCCCGCCTGGAGCGGCCCCCAGCTCCCCTGGGGTGCCCTAGCCCTGGCAGCCTTCGTCCGTGCTGTGCTGGGGCTGGCAGCCGTCTTTTGCTTCCACAACGAGCACGGGACGCCCAACATGTACTCGCTGCACAGCTGGCTGGGGCTGGCCACCGTGCTCCTCTTCTCCTGCCAGGTGGGTGCTGCTCTGCCTCCCCCCACGCCCCATCCGCCGCCGTGCCCCTCGCCCTCACCTCCCCTTCCCGCAGTGGGTGGCCGGCTTCAGCGCCTTCCTGCTGCCCTGGGCTCCTGCCTGGCTCCGTGCCCTCTACAAACCCGTCCATGTCTTCTTTGGCTCCACCATCCTCATGCTGTCCGTGGCCTCGTG